TTCTAACATCATCATCATCATCATCATCATTATTATTATTACCCTGTATATAAATAATTATTCTAATACACCTTTCTGTAGGTTTGTGGCTTCCAATGAATCAATTGGACCATAAATCCTTTAAACATAACCATAACTATGCTATGCTAGATAAGTATAAGGATAGGTTCTTACAGGTCACAATAAATGAATTTGGTATCAGTCCAACACTAAAACAAGAGGCAGGGGAAAATGTTTCTTTCATTCAAAATAAGAGTAACTTTTAGTGCATTAAAGAAGGAAGAAAGAGATATAAGAATTTTAAGCATGATTTCATTATAGTCAATCCATAGTCAACTATGTACAAGTTTCATACTTTAAAGATCTCTCACATACCTCTCCTCTTTTGATTTCTCCCCCTTGGCACCAAAATTGCATATGAGTCAGTATGACTTTTCATCTCATACAGGTAGACATCATTTAGTGCAGGGATCTTCAAACTTGGCCTTTTTATGACTTGTGGACTTCAACTCCCAGAATTCCTCAGCCAGTCATAAAAGGGCCAAGTTTGAAGATCCCTGATTAGTGACTGGTCTCATTTAGCAACTGTTTCCAGTTACAACAGTGATGGAAAAGTAACTTTATGATTAATCCTCACATTTGTGACCTTTGCAGGGTTGTAAAGCAAAGGAATGCTAAAGTAAAATTGTAAGTACAGTCAGAGTTACATTTACAAACTGCTTTGCTTAACGATCGAGTTACTGTTTTCAACTGTGGTCACTAAAGAAGGACTTCCTATATATTGTTTCTCCAGCTGAATGTTGGAACAAAACAACTTTCAGCCTTGTTTTCCAAAAATATGAACTGGAACTTCATCTTCTTTTTTACTGCTAAGCAACAAGACATAGTAGTTTATTGTACAGGTTTGTTCTTGAAATGTTTCTTTATAATATACAGCCTCCAAGATCTATGTTTACAACATACAACCTTCAAGGACTATCAGATAAACATGTGACATAAAAATGATAACTTGTGATAAATATTTTATTGATACTGTAAAACTTTTACAAGTTGGGACTCAAGTATCCTGCAGAATAGTGTTTTCATACTGAATTATATCTAGTTTTATACTGTATATATACTTTAAATATACATTTGATATAAGAGATTATGAATATCATTTGCAATAGATTAAGTAGTCAATTAAGCCAATATCATAGTCACACTTCCATCATTTATATTTGCTTTACATTGCATTTGCTATAATCATCAAGCCTTATCATGTTACCTAAGAATTAACCTGTACAGGTGTGCTTAAAGTAGTTTTAGCCTATCTTGAAAATATGTAGGCAATGTTTATCAGGCCATAGGTCAAAAATAATTTGTATTTTATACACTAGAAATATGTGATGTAAACTCCCTCAAAACATAAGAAGGTTGTAGTGGAAAAAATAGCAAGCATAGAGTGTTTTTGCAGCAACAACAAAAAAGCAACCTAGGCCACTTTAATTTGAAGATGGTTTATGTAAAATTATCTGTTAATTGGCCAACACTAGTAGAAAAAACTGAAATACATTGATAAATTTACTAACATTGAGACCTGTTTGAGAAAAAGACTGGGACTGGAAAGAGATTTCTTTGTGCTGTCAGGTCGGTTCACTACAAGCCAAATTTCAAGCCCACTCTTGTGCTGGGCAGTTATGTGATGGCTGGACAGAATGTTTGGTGTATTTCAATGGCACTGAGAGGGCTCAGGAATAACAACTGTATCTAACCTTTGGATGGATGTGGAAGGAATCTCCTGATCTGCCGAGGTGTGTTTTTAGCATGGAAATGAGAGCAAGTGGCCTCCAGGGAACAAATGACTTCTTTTATCCTTCTTAAAACTGAGAAAATGCCTCCAAATTTCCATGCTAATTTCAGTTGATTGGGGGGGGGGGAGAAGAGGAAGCATTATACCCTTATATTACATAAAGGTTTTGAAATATATCAACTCTATAACTGATATAGAAAGATGAAGAAGATACAATTCCGGGGAAGCTCAGACAATTGGATAGTTTTAGAGAGAAATGAAATCACCACGTCAGAATAATTATAAAGACTGATACTACAACTCTATGTACGTTTCTCAGACTTACATCCCACTTGGTACTTTGGCAAGATAGCTTGTGACCAATGCTTTCCACAATCGGGGCATAATGGAGGACAGTTCAAACATAATCATTCTTCAAATTGACCATCCATCAATAACTGTTGTTGCTTTATCACAGAATGTAGGATATCTAACACATTTCTTGCTGCTGGAATCATAAGCTAAAGTAGGGCTGGCCTGGCAGGCCAGATTAGGCCCATGAACTGAAGGCTACAAATCCCTGATATATAGTTAGAAAGCATGTTTCAATTTTTCATTCTGTTACTATTTCAGCTATTCCAAATGGAAGGAAGTAGCTGAGATAGTTATAGGTCACGGGTGTCAATTTCGCGATGTGTCATGACTTTTTTTGCATTACCAGAGCTGGGGTTGGCGCGGCCTCCGTATGATGAAACCGGCCCACGGGCAGGCAGTTTGACACCTCTGTTATAGGCCTTCATTTTGAACAGCCCCAAATATGTTGTAAGGTTAGTGTTTTGCACAAAGGAGAAGTGCAACCAAAGAAAGGGAAATATTTGTTCAAAATGAAACAAATATCCTGATTAGGATATTTTCCATCTCTAAAAGACAAGAATTTGTGCTACAGTACATTATATGATATTTCACTTAGGCTGTACATTTGATCAATACAAAGGTTCTATTATTTCATAAACTAAAATGCAATGGAAACTATGATTAAAACACATCTCTGGCAATGCACTGTGGTTATACCCACTGCTGTTTTTACTCATTAAAAGTTTAATATCTGAGTACTGTATTATTCTTCTGGAACGTATACAAAAATGTATAAAATGTAACTTGACGATATTTACAGTTTTATCACTTTGGAAGAAAGTTAATATATATATATATATTGATGCTAATCTTTGTTAAATTCGATACTTTCAGTTTATTAAAGTCCTCATCCCATATATTTCATGAGTTCTCCAGTAACTTATGAAACAATTAAAATAAAAAAAAACACAGATGCATGTAACAATCATATAGCTGAAATAGAATTAAGAACAGCAGCAACCATTAACTAAACATTATCTAATGTTTAGGCAAAAAAATAAAAATACCAAGTAATGGGTAATGGAAGATTGAGTCACCTTACAAATATACTTATACCAACCTTCCATTGTTACTACCTGCTCAAGACAGTAATCCTAAAGAGATTTACCTAGAAATAACTTTTCCTTAACCTAGTGAAATTTAACGACAAATAAAATGCATTGCATGCTTTGTAATGGAAGGAGAATCATTCAAAAGATATTCATGAGGAACACACAGAATATTGCCATCAGACACATACAGTATATATCCAAAACTTTTTGTGGTGTAAAACGTGGTTACACTTATTTCCCATCAAGTCAGTCTTAGTGACCACATAGATTTTCTCCATGAGGTGTAAAACCATACAGCAACTCAACTGGGAAATACCCTAGAAATTAATTTAGAGCTGAACTATAATTTCAGACTCACCTTCTTTATTAAAATATCACAATCTAATGTTTCATATTTTTAAAAACAAAATATAACAAAATATAACAGGAATTTAATTTTCATTGGTGCCAAAGTTATTACTAGTTTTTCTTCATTATCTACCCTGTTAATTTCAGCTGTTTTTCAAAAACATAAACAATGAGTTGTTTCTTAAAGGTAATGAAAGGACTATAATTCTGAATACAGATAGCTATGCTCATTTAATCAACTGAATTTGCAGGTAAAGTTAAGATTACTTTTAAATTTTCTTCCTACTCCTTGTCTTGTCTTGTCATGACATGCATGCTGCTTACTCATCTGTACACAAAAGAAGTTAAATGAGCATGTTGTCAAAGATTCTAAAGCAGTTACAGGAAAAGACTTTAGCATAGTTATCTGGATTTAGATTCAGTTATTCCATTCCCTGAAGAGAAAGCACTAGCATATGGGAGCATTTGAATAAATTCGTTCCACCAGTTACACTAAATTTAGTAACTTTTGCTCAGCCAAATGCCTTGAATCAGAAACAAACACATTTTTAATTCACATTATATATATGTGGAAAATGTTACTATTGGTGAGATTGTCAGAAGAAAGCAGCTCTCTGCAATATTTTGAAGTTCCCTAGCTCACTATCAAACTGATGATCTGATTAGTGTGGTTTATACCAGCAGTTTATCTGGCTTCTTAGCAAATCAAGAAATTTGAGCTGTTTAAAATATGCCCACATTCTCAGAGGTACCGTATTTACCTTCTTTTTGGACTTAAGTAGGCTATTGCATTAAATTTTCAGGGGGGGGGGGAGAAATTGTCTTCTCTCACCAGTCATTTCCCAACCCAACCCACATTTACGCTGGTAAATATTCAGTTTTTTTGGAACGTTTCCAGATCATCCACATGCTCATCATACCATGGAAAGAAAGGAAGGATATTTCCCTTTTGACAAACTTTGCCACAGACATACTGTTGTTCAATTCAACATGCATCAACCAGTAAAACTGTTTCTCCAAAGCTCCTTAAAATAACGATTTTTCAGTTCTCTGAATTGCACAACTTCCCTTTACAGAAGTTGGACGGTGTTAAACCAACGTATATTTTCCGTTTTCAAGCCATTGTTGCCTGTGAGTACATAGCACACACAGCTTCTAATATACACTTTGTGTATGCTTGTCATTCCACAAAGAACAAAAGAACATTCTTGGTGTCAAGGGCTTAGTTGCTGCATTTTCAGTGAAATTAAAGATAGTTCTCTTCAGATTCCTTTGCTTTCTCTCCCCTCCCTTAAAAACAGTTCAGTATTACAGCAAATACAAACCTCTATTCATCATCTGCTGCCAGAAGCAGCTTTGGAAAGCAACATTTAAAAACAAACCTCCTTGGGAGAAAAAAAAAATGAAAAGCATACCTTCTTTGGAATCATCTGCTTCGGAACCCATGATATCAACCTAAATCTTTGAAGATTTAGATGACGTGCCTGCTTGAGAAGCAGTAAAATGAACTTCTCAAAAGAAGAAAAGGGGGCTGGAACTAAGAGAGGAAAAGTTTTGTAAAACCAACCAATGAGAGCTCAGCGGTGCTCCGAGGTCCCGCCTCTTGGTGAATGCATCTGAGAACCGTCTGAAAAAGAGCACCTTCAGACACCCCTTTTATTTGCCAGAAATGGCTGCCTGTTCAGCTCAGTATGTAGATATGTGTGTGATAGAATGTGAAACCTCTGCAATCCAAGCAGCAGAAAAAACAGCATCCAGTTTTTAAGTATTGTTTTACAGACTGACAAGCAGTGCGAGTCCATAAACCACAAACAATAGAAATTGGACTTGTTTCTTCCATCTTTGCTGTAAAAATCAGCCCACATTTAAAAAAAAAAACAACCCATAATTTTTGCCAGGATTTTAGTGCAAAAAAGAGGGTTTTTAAAAATCTCACTCAATCGCTCAAGGGGGCGATTCGTTCAAAAAGGTTAAGAACCACTGCTCTAAAGTATATTTTGTTCTTCAAATCTGCAAAATTGAGTACTGTAGTCTTAATTTTGGCTTAATGCAACACGCAAACCCACCGAACATAGTCATTTTAAATTGTTCGACAAATCATGCTTTCAAAAAGTTTTGAGTGACTGCACTTACTTCAACACTTACTTTTTTCCTCATGTATGGAACATTATTTAGCAGGTTGTTTCATATACCCGAGTGTTTGTCCTGTCATGTGAAGCATGGGTGTTTCTCTGTGCATAATATCAACCAACTGCTTTACTAGTGACACATTTAATGCATTTTCTTCATAGGTTCTCAATATTTATTACTAGGCTTTTGTGAAGATTTACAAATGAGAATCTGAGGCTAAAATTGAGCCTGGAATAGTTTCTATATAGCCAAGATATAACTGACAAATAAGTCTAACTCAACAACTTAATACTAATGGCTTTTTATGCAACAATATACTGTGACAAACAAGTGACTATTATGGCTGCAAGGACTGCTGCAGCCTTAAGGACTTCTCAGTTTTGACAATGATAGTAATAGCTATTGAATATTATATTTGCCTTATGTGGAGACTCTGCAAACTGTGTGAGCTGGCATTAAAAGAAATGGCCATTATATAATTTTTGAAAAGTTTTTCTGTTGACTCGATTCAAACAGCTTCCAACTATTTAACAATCTTTTGGGCAAGAGATTATTGGAAAATGGTATCAGTAGTTGGATGACATATATTTGCTTGTGATCTTTTAAGACAAGCTGCTTTGGAAAGTGATGTTGTTTGTTGCCATGTTTATGCGAAGATTGTATCAGTGATTCTGGAATTCTACTTGCTCCTCATTTTCTTGATATTATAACTAGTTTCATGACCTTCCTGTATTATCAGTGGGGTGTATGGGGTAGTCAGGGAGGGGTAGTACCTCTGGTGTAGGGCATGTCATGCCTCTTTAGGGCAGCTCGTACACCTTTGGTCCCACCTGACACTCAGCTCTCACCTGTGGCTCCTAGCAGCTGTAACATGTGCAGCGGCCACACCCCGGGCAACAGCTTCGATAGTCTGGCTAAACCAGGTTGAGAGTAGCCGTTGTGTCTTTGACACTCGGTGAGTAAGGGATTTGTCTATCCCGAGCATGTGAAGACAGACTCTGGCGGATTGAGCGGATGAGATCTATTAAGATAGAACCAACGGTCATAAAGGCAATTTCTGCAAGCGATGTGGTATGCTGAAAGCATGGCAAGACACGAAAGATGCCCTGGTCAACCACTGCGCCCAGTCCATCTCCAACTGTCTCGACTTTTGTCCTGCCATTGGAATAAGATAGAATCTGGGAAGAGAGAGTGAAGCTGACTATGCGCACCTCTCCCTCACTTAAATCCAATCCACGTGCAAGTCTTGACATCTTGACTTTCCCTAATTCTGACAAATCTTAAAGTCCTGTGGCAATAGGCGAGCGAAGAAGCAGCAGGTGTGGAATCACTGGGAGTTGTGGACGCGGACCTGCACACAGGCGGCTCAGATCTAATAGTCGCTTCTTGCTGATGAAGCAACAGCTCGATTCAGCGTCAATCTGAGCGACTGAGCAGCCCTCTTTAGGATCACACTGCTCACCTCCGTAGTATGAGGAAGGGGCTAGAAAATGTGCCCTAGACATTGTTGCTTCCTTCAAACCCTGTCCAGCCTACCGCAGTTGGAGGAGATCTCATTTCATGCGGTCGAAATACAAAATTTAAGATGAAACACAGGGTGTTACCACTTATTATTGGTACATGGAACATACGTATGCTTCAAGACAATCCATTAGCAGATCGCACAGAAAGAAGAACAGCTTTGGTAGCCAGAGAGCTTGCAAGATTGACATTGCAGCCCTGGGTGAAACTCGTCTAGCCAATGAAGGTCAGCTCACAGAAACAGGAGGCGGTAACACATTTTTTTGGTGTGGACGTAGCAGTGACCAACGTCGTGAGTCTGGAGTTGGCTTAGCGGTTAAGAACCATCTTGTTCACCAACTTGCCAGTCTTCCTAAGGGTGTGAATGATCAACTCATGACACTGCATCTCCCATTACTAAGTGGAAAGCAAGCTACATTGATCAGTGCCTACGCACACACAATGACAAATCCAGATGAAGTAAAGGACAAGTTTTATGAAGATCTTGATGCCCTACTTTCATCCGTGAAGCACACCGATAGGCTGATTTTACTTGGCGATTTCAACACGAGAGTGGGATCCGATCATTCCACCTGGGATGGCGTTATTGGTAAAAGTGGAATTGTCACGTGTAATAGCAATGGTCTGTTACTATTGAAGACATGTGCTGCTCATGACCTGGTTATTACTAATACCATCTTTCGCCTGCCTACTCATAAAAAGACGTCCTGGATGCACCCACGCTCAGGCACTGGCATCTCATTGATTATGTCATTGTGCGGAGGAAAGACATGCAAGATGTAAGAATAACTAAGGCTATGCCGAGTGCTGACTGCTGGACTGACTATAGACTCATCATTTCCAAGTTAAATATTCACATCAAGCCAAAGAATCGTCCACAGGGAAATAGAGTTGTGATGAAAAAGATCAACGTCAGTACACTGGAAAACCCCGACGTAGTAGCTTCATTAGTAAAAGATCTTGACAATCAACTCCTGGAGCTGCAAATACAGGAAAATGCTGAGAAGGACTGGGAATGTTTCTGGGACATCTTGCACTCTTCTGCACTTAAGGTTCTTGGACCTTCATATAGGAAGCAGCAGGACTGGTTTGATGAAAACGATGAAGAGATTAAGGCCTTGCTTGCTGAAAAACACCATCTCTACTGTGCTCATCAGAATGACTCATCGTCAATTGCAAAGAAAAATGCTTTTATAAACACTCGCAGGATTGTACAGAGCAAGCTCCGCAAGATGCAGGACTCCTGGTTGAGTGCCAAAGCAGATGAAATCCAGAAGTTTGCTGATAGAGGTGATGTCAAATGATTCTATGAAGCCCTTAGATCCCTGTATGGATCTCAGCCCTTAGGAAGCTCTCCTTTACTGGATTCAAGTGGTGCAACTCTTATCACTGAGAAGACCCTGATTTTACAGCATTGGGCTGAACATTTCCAGTTTGTGCTGAACTGCCCATCCACCATCAATAATGAGGCGACTGACAGGTAGATAACAACTATAGCCTGGATGCCCTACCATCAGAGGCTGAAACCTCACAGGCATCAGTCAGTGTTCCAGTGGTAAGGCGCCAGGATCTGACGCAATCCCAGCGGAAGTCTATAAGGCTGGTGGTGCTGTGCTTGTTGCAAAACTTACCCAGTTGTTCCGATCTTTCTGGAAACAAGGTTCCATTCCCCAGGAACTGAAAGACGCGTCCATCGTGCACCTCTACAAGAGGAAAGGAAATCGACAAGTCTGTGATAATTATAGAGCAGTGGTTCTCAACCTGTGGGTCGGGACCCCATTTGGGGTCGAACGACCATTTCACGGGGATCGCCACACAACGCAGTCCGCCATTTTTTCCCCCCTTTTCCTTAGCTGTGCTACTCCCTTTTATTCTATTGGCTTTTGAAAGCCAATAGAATAGATTTTCTTGAATAGAGTCTAATTCTATTGGCTTTCAAAAGCCAATAGGAATTGTCCAGGCTGTCTCTGCCCTGCTGAGCCCGCCAAAAGTCCCATTCTGCAAACGGTGCTTGACTTATGACTGGTTGAGTAGTCCTCGACTTACGACCGGTTGGGGGTCGCAGCATTAAAAAGGTTGAGAACCACTGTTATAGAGGAATATCACTTCTCCGTCACAGGCAAGATCTTTGCACGAGTGTTGCTAAATCGCCTGATTGGCCATCTGGAACAGGGTATACTACCTGAGACACAGTGTGGTTTCTGCAAAGAGCGTGGACGGTGGACATGATCTTTACAGCTCGACAGTTCCAGGAGAAATGTCAGGAGCAGAATCGTGAACTATACACCACCTTTGCGGATCTCACCAAGGCTTTCGACACAGTTAGTCGTGAAGGATTATGGCGCATTATGTCGAAGTTTGGGTGCCCTGACAGATTTATTCTGATGGTATGGCAGTTCCATGATGGCATGGCGGCTCATGTTCTGAGTAACGGTGGAGCCTCAGAGGTCTTCCCTGTCACTAACGGCGTTAAGCAAGGCTGCGTGCTGGCACCAACCCTGTTCAGCATGATGTTTTCAGCCATGCTGTCAGACGCCTTTCAGAACATCTCAGTGGGGGTTAATTTGAGGTACAGAACCGATGGGAAATTGTTCAACCTGCGAAGACTTCAGGCTGTCACCAAGGTAAAGGAGACTGTGCTACGAGATCTCCTCTTTGCTGATGACTGTGCTCTTAATGCAGGATCGGAGCAGGAAATACAAGCCAGCATGGACAAATTCGCAGCCGCTTGTGACAACTTTAGCCTCTTCATCAACACGAAGAAAACTGAAGTGATGTACCAGCCAGTTCCAAAAGACCAATATCAAGAGCCTCCCATCACAGTAAAGGGACAAAAGCTGCAAGCAGTGGACCAATTTACGTATCTTGGTAGTACCCTCTCCTGTGCAGTAACAATTGACAATGAGGTCAACT